CCCCCCCCCCCCCCCCCCCCCCGCTCCGCTCAACACCCTGCAGTTTGTGGAGAGCAGACTTGGAGCACTAGACTTCTTATTCAGGGACTGAGGCTTTCCTTCTAAACTCCTCCTCCTTTGTTGACCTGGAGTGCTCTGGATTGTCCTGAGAGTACTCTAAGTGTAATAGAGTAGGTATCAAGCTCCTCCTGCCAGCTCCTGGCTCCAGGTGAATTTCAGTGGTTCTGTAAGTGGCCAGGCTGAGCTTCTGGATGGGGGTTGTAGTCAGAACTTTCTGAATTCTTGGGGTTTGATACCTAAAGCTTGTAAGTCCCAGAGCATAGCTACTGGCTGATGCGGATGGTGGCAGCAGCAACAACATTCACAACTTCTTAGTGCACATGCATGCTCCACACTGATCTAAGTATCAACTCATCTTATCCTTGTGACTGTCCCTGCAGGTAGGGTCATTGACCCCCTATTACAGATGAAGAGGCATGACCTCACACGATTTAAGAACTTGCCTCGAGTCATGTAACTGGTCAGTAGCAGAGTTATTTAAAGCCCAGCATCCAGAAGCTACCCGCTTACTTTTACATCAGAGCCTCCTTGCTGGATGGTGAACTGGGTGGGGCTCCACTCCCCTGGCCTCCCCGCCTGACATATGGTGCAGGGCCCTGGCTCTTCCCTTGTGAACCCCCAGATAGTCACTTGTAGCATGGCTGTGTACTTTATGATAGCATCGATACTTCTGTTCCTGGTACAAATTAATCATTTACTGCTGACATTTACTTGTAACATATGATGTTTGATGAAACCAACCAGCCTCTCCCTGGTATCTCAGCAGAAAAAGGGCTGTCCCTCCCAGGAATCCTGGGAAGGATAAACAGAGCATGTAATGAGAAACCATCACCATCCTCTCACCCCCAGCCTCGAATAGCATCCTCTCTCAATCCTGGTGGCAGGCATCTGTGACCCTGGGGTGCTCTCCCACATCCTCAGAATCGTGAGCCTCTGATTCTGGTTGCCCCTGGTTCCTGACCTTTCTGTGTCCACATGGCCACGTGCTGGTCCCCATCATCACTGGTTACAGAAGCTCTTCCACAAATACAAGTTTCTGACACCCCCTCGCCATTCTCAGTTTCCTGCTCATTCCCTTTGTTCCTCTGATCCCACAGTGCTCCCCTCCACACTCCTGCCCACTTTCCCAGCCCCTCCATTCTTTCAGCATGGATGCCATGGCTCATCATGGTCACTCCCTTGCATACACTCTCCACTTCCTGCTTCTCTCTCCATCACACTGGCTTCACCAACCCCAGCACTGGTTGGTTCCGGTTCTCCACCATGGCTGGAGGCAGCACCTTCCCGCTGACTGCTTGCACTTTCAAATCACAATGAAGGTGCAAGTGAGTCTGTGTGTGGTTTGACCATCTTTCTGCCTTTCCCTGGCTCATCTCTTTTCCCAGTCTCCAAGAAGCTGTGCCTCCTTCCCCTCAAACTCCAGCCCCCTCCCCTCCATGCTATATCTTGCTTCTAGTCTCTCTGAGAAAATAGAGACAACCAGGAAAGAAGAGAACTACCATAGCTCCTTCCACCTCATCCACCCACCTCTGTGCCCATCTACTTAGCATTCCCTGTTGTCACCATAGATGCACCACATGTGTCTAATCGAG